TTGAATATTTCTATGTATTTTTTTTTATACGTTTTATAATAAAGATTAACATAATACAGAAATATAATTATTTAATTAAAATTGATTACATGGTTTTATGCATTTTATGATGAATTGTAAAAATGTATTATTTATTAAAATTTAAATGGCTCTCATTCAGTCAATTTTGATTTTAAAGCCATGATTAACTGGTCAAAATGACTTAAAAAAATTCAGTCTATGCGAATTTGGTATCAAAAATACCGGTTGCTATTCAAAAAAAATAAGTTGCATTGTGCATGGGCGTACCGGATGGTTAAAAATTTGAAATGTATCTGAAAATGTATATTTATATACCACTAGCTTATAATCCGGCCAAGAAATTCAGTGTTCCCTAAATTGATGAACACACGGTATATACTGTTAGAATAGAATCATTAAAATAATTTTATTATTTTACAAATACTCAATAGAAAACCGTACTTGAAAGTGTAAAAACGCAGTTTCCAGAATTATTGAAATATATCTATCTTTAAAATTGTACTTTCACTCACAGGAGAAATTTCCAACCATTGTAAAATCATTTTTAACGACCCAGTTTTAATTATATGGTTTAATTTTATACAAATTCAATTAAAAGTAGTTTGTGACACTATAATAAAAATAGAAAGGGACAACTTATCTGCATCTGAAGTATCAGAAGAGTTAGGAATATTATTTGGAAAAAAAAAAATATTGAAAAACACAAAACTTTTTTAACTTCCGGTGTAAATTCACTAATTTTAGAATTAAAGACAAAAAAACATTTATAAAAAAATAATAAATTGCCCAACATGGAAAGATATTCAAAAAAGTTTAAATTTTATTTTCAAAATAATAAAAAACAGATAAATTTGAATGTGGATGGGGATATTCTTTTCGACGAGTATAATTATGTAATAAATGTTATAGATGATAATTTAAAGAATGACAGAATAATAATGTTCGTGTTGAAGTAAGATGGTGTGTTATCTACAATTTTAGAAAGTAAAATTATAGTCATCAACAATTTTTGGAAAATTGTAGAATATTCTCTGGTAATGCCAGGAACTAATATTGCAATCGAAAGAATATTTTCCAAAATATATTGTGGACGGATGTCGATTTCTTGTACTTACTATAAAAGTAATTGAAATTCGGAAAAATCATTTAAAAAATATTCCTGCAATGATTTTTATGATTATTTATTAACACAGCCAAAACTATTAGACAAAATCAGTTCATTACAAAAATACAATAGGACAACAAATTGTAGTAATGAATAGGATGAGCAACCAACATACACCCATAAGTCATAAGAGCAACATGTTACTATTATTATTAATTAATTATTTTTTATTATTTTATTAAATTGTAACTTAAATGTAACTGAAAAAAATAAAAAATGATATTTATTATTATATAAATTTATATTGATAACATACATTTATCTTTTACGAAAGATTCTTTATGGTTTGTAGATTTTTGGAAGTTTTAGCAAAAATTTATTTTTCAACTTCTTTTAACCTAAAACATCAATGGTAAATATAATTAAAATTTCTATTTTATAAATAATTCATATTTTATTGCAATTGTAACTCAAACTGTATACTAAACTATTGTTAAAGTTTTGAAAAATTGAATATTATGTTGTTAGCAAATACTTAATAACAATAATTAGCATTCTACATTTAACAAATATAATATGCAATTAGTAATACAGTTTGAGCAGATTGTGATTATACTATAATTATGAGATTTATTATGACATTACAATTAAGTGTTTCCTGAGATTATGAAATCTTACGAGTTTCACTAAAATCAAAACTAATTTTGTTCCATCTAATCTAGTTATTACTCAATGTTTCTGAAATATTCATTGGTTCTGGTAAACAAAGCAACGATTATTATGTGAATAGATGTAAATTGTTATATTTTAGTAGGTAATTTAGGTATGTAATTAAATTTATATATTTTCTGACAGTAATCATTATACACTGATAATTCTAAAGAAGCTAAATAATTTACTTTTATGAACATTAATAACATAATTTTGTATTGATATTCAAACCATATACAAAAATTTATTCGCTATTCGAAAATAATAAAAATAACACTCAATGAATATTTTTTTGATAAAATAAGTTTCTTTATTTTCTATTTAAGTCTGTCTATAGGTTTTTAAGAAAATTTAATTTTTTCATTCAGCATAGTAATATAATAACAGCCGATGGAAAATAATAACTGTATGGTATGTATTACTAGGTCGACCGTGATAAGTGTCTTTCAGATATTTTATTTGACTTCTGCACTGACTAAATACAAAATAAACATAAATTTGAGGATAGAAAAACTGTACGACTGTGTTAAGTTATTAGTGTAACAACCGTTCAAAAATTAAAATGATTTCTCGAAGATAAATATTAGACTTTAACTTAAACAGTGGATAAATTTAATTACGCTTTTAAAAATTATACATTTGATATTAATCTAGTTTCGTTAGGCTAAATTAATTCATTGCACAGTTGCATTTCAGTTAGAAAACGGACATTATTATGAAATTAATAGTTTATAATTTAATGTTTATTATGACCAGCTTATAAAAATTAGTTAAACTTTACTTAGTATTTAAGTTTTATATCACACTAGCTGACTATTAATAATTATTTATAACAAATATGTTTAGTCTAAAGCTCTTCCTAAAAATTATAAACGAGTTTTAGTAGGAACTATCCTGATCAGTATACTAACGCAATATCTATTTACTTATCAAAGTCAGGTCAAATGCACAGGAAAATAGTTTGATTAATAATTAATCAAAGTTTTTTTTTTTAATTTTTATTTTTATTATTCTACAATAATTATTATTGAAAATTTCAGTAGTTTTTTTTTTATTTATCATAATAGTTAACTATGCATATCAAATTATACATCAGAGTTTTAAAACAATTTACAATCAAATTAATTTACCAAATAAATTAAATGGTATATAAGAAGATATTTTTTAAAAATATTGTATTTGAACATGATCCTATGCGTGCTCTTATATGATTTATAGTTAAAAATTACCATGAACAAATAAAAACAAATATTAACAAAAACAAATAAATTAGTTTGTCTTAGCTAATTCTATAATTAAAAATAGAAGTAGTCAACACAACTAAATATTGTGTTATTGACATCTGAGTTATTTTAATTTGTCATGATTGACCAAAAAAATAAAAGAAGGTTGTCACTGAGCAAAAATGTATTTTATATACATGCATGTTGCATGTTACACTTCCTATATTTAATCTCTTTAAAATATTCATAAATTATAGTAAATTTAATTTTATAATTTTACATAACACGTATTTTAGTATATCTTTTATCAATTTATACGAGCACAATAAATACTGTTATTCAATACGGAATATTTAAATTACGTATATATACTTACATAGCTACTCGATATCAGTGTATAATTTCGTTTTTCTATTTATTACTATTATTATTACTATATACAGACTTAATTAGTTGCTATTTATCTAATTTTTGTATTCGTGGGTTGAACTAAAATATAAAATTTATAGTAAATATAATTATTTAAATTTTTTTCTGAAAAATTATAAAAAAATTAAAGAGCCAACATCGTCTAGAACTCATATTGACCTGTTAGCCATCCTTGCTATAAAGTATTAACTTGAATAACGATGAAAGTGTTTTTAAATTACATATTAAAATGTTTATTCATAATTGAAAATCGAGTTGTATTAATTACATGTGTAAAGAAAACAAATAAAAACTTTTTACTTAAAATTAGTCAAGCATTTTATATTCGTATCTTTTTGATTTTATTTTTTCGGAGTTTAATTACCAAAAGAACTATTAATTCATTTTTAATGATTTAAAAATTTTTATTGTAATATTTTAACGGACCAATAAAGAATTTTAAAAATAAGGCAATGTATTTTAAGTATTAATACTTTTTTTTATCGAACAAACATTTTTTTATTTACAATCTGTAAGCTGAAAAAAATTACTTCAAGTACATACCTAAAATAAAATTAATTAAGTTTTTAAAGTGAATAAAACCATAGATGCTTATCATAAAATAATAATGAAAAGCATAAACAAAAAATTATATTTTATTGCATACATTATATAATAATATAGGTAAGAGTGTAAAATATTTAGAAATTGAAAAAGATCATAGTTCATTAGAAAATTAATTTAATCAATCCTCTGTTTTTATCCTTCTAAGTTAAGGCTACCGAAGACTATAAAAGTAATCACGACTATAAAAAAATATATTAATCACATTTATATAAAATTAATCATATATATATATATATATCATATTATTAACATATATTATATATTATATCAATCTCTTCTAAATGTCAATAATCAATATAATATAATGTGTTATAAATATAATATTTCTCTTCTTTAAATTAGTTTACACATTAAAAATTATAGTAATATTTTAAGTACCTCAGGCCTATGAGGAGAGGGAACTTCAGTTTCCATAACTTCCCTCGTATCTGCGCTTGGACAAAGAAATGGTTAACTATTATTCTTAAATTTTTAATACATATTACTGTGGGCAAATGTAGTATCAAAAAAAGATAATATTCTTCTCTATGTATCAAGATTTTTTTTTGTTTTTTGATATATAACTAAATAAATTGTCGACTCGTTGAAGGGAAAAAAGGAAGAGGAATATCAAAAAAGATATAGTTGGATATTATTGAGAATATAAGGGCCGTTGGTGTGTGGGTAGAGGATATAAAAAATTGAGACGCGTGGAGGCTTAGAACTGTAAATAGTTGGGAGAAAGGCGATGGAGAAAAACAAAATTTTTTTATTGATTTACAAGACACTTATGACTGCATAATCAAATGCAAATTAGAGAATTAAAAAAAAATTGATAACAAAAATGTATAAAATGTATCTAAAACTTCTGTTATGTGTTACGAATTACGAATACATTTTTTTACATTGATCGACTACATTTACAGGTCCGCATCCACATGCTTTACTAGGAAAGACGAGAAGACCAAGAACTGCATTTACTAGCCAACAACTTCTAGAGTTAGAAAAACAATTCAGACAAAATAAATATTTGTCTAGACCTAAAAGATTCGAGGTGGCAACAAATCTAATGCTCACCGAAACTCAAGTATGAATATTTTAACTTTTATAACTATCAATAATTTTCTACACAATTCAAAATATTTAAAATGTATTGATATAAAATATTATTTTTAAAATTGGTTAGGCGCATTTAAAATATTATTAAAATTTTTTTCCTTTATTTGATTTTTTTAAGTGTAACTCTTCTAAAACTGAATTATTGTAAATGTTATTTTGGGTATTTAATATTTAACTGACTTTAATTTGACTCAAATATTCTTTATTCGTTTTTGTCTTAAAATTTATAATAATACTAATAATAAAATGTACTAATGTGGACATTGACGAAACGATGAGACTGTAACCGGTCGTTTGCATATTGAAATGGTTTCTATAATAATTAAAGTTATTTTTAAATATTTATTCAAAATTAAAAAAATAATATGAATATATTTTATATTACATTAATGCAATAACGATTGGTGATTCTTGTTGATAGCTGATAAAAAAGTAAACGATCGATAAAGATTATAACTTCTCGTGATTTCTCATTTACGAAAAAACGATGGTATTGTAACACGAATCATATCCAGTTTTTCGTACGATATGAAATAATATAATTTATTGTAAATTAATATTGACATGAGCGAATTTTCCCTGTACATTTATTTATCACAGACCATTTTGCGTAAGACTGGATACATACCATATATGTAATAATTAGAGCTGAGATTTTGATGAAATGTAATTTTTTTCTTGATATTCTAACACGTAGGTCCATAACCAGAAATAATGTTTCAGGTGATACTTATTATTTTAAGGTAGTTTTTAATTTGCATTTTTATACATTTTTTGACAAATTTAACATTTAATGTATTTTTTGTTGTTTTTAGTGCATTTTCAAAGTTTCATAATTTGGCTATAACTTTTATCTAATAACAAATAAACACACATAACACGTAATATTACACAAATAACACACCCGATTGTTGCGGTACTGTTTGTGCCAATATCAAAGGCATATGGTTTAAGAAATCCTTTAATCAAATCATTTGAAATTTCAGGTGAAAATTTGGTTCCAAAATCGACGAATGAAATGGAAACGCAGTAAAAAAGCTCAACAAGAAGCAAAAATATCTTCGAGAGATGATACAATACTGGAGAAACGAGGATCTATAAGTCGAACATGTGGTACTGGGAGTAATGATTTACAAAACAACACTAATATCAGATCTACGGACGACTCTCGCATTAAAATAGATTGCCCGACATCTTCCACGGCGACAACGATTCAAACTCAATCTCATCACAACTCCACTGCTCAATTAAACCATAATTATCATACATTAAACAATATAAGATCACACGAGCAAGATGGAAACTGTGAGTCTCTATATAGACCGTATGTATCATAACAAACGTATCGATAAAATGTATTTTATAAGCTCCGATCAAATAATAAAAATTGATCAACATTGTAATATAGTAATTTTTAATTGATTTTATAAATTCGATAGAACGATCAAATTGATGAACATGTATTATGTACTTATTTATAATATATATCATATTAATACTGTATTATTAAAATAACATAATTTGAATTAAAAATTGGAAATAATTTATCCATTTTTTACTAAAAACATTTATGAACATTTAGAAATTATGTAAAAAGCATAAAATATAAATATTTTTAGTTTTATGTAATAAATAATATTCTGGATTTGCAATAACGTATTTGTTTAAAATAACCATCTGAGATACGATATCATAACACAACCACGTATTATTTACTACTTGTATTATATATTAAAATATTGTTATTCACCAAGTATATTAATTACTTGTATCTACATATTTAATGTTCTTTAATAATATTGTACATTTATTTATTTTAGTTTTATGAGAGAGATAATTATATGTTTTTGTGTGACTGTTTTCATTACTATTTACTATCTATTAATTTAACATTATTATAAAACATTTTAATAATAGATATGAACATAAATAACGTATAAATTATATTACTTGATAAAAATCTGAAAATCATTTGAGTGCTCGTTTTATTCGTGTAAATAATAATAAGACTACATGATGTGTGAATATTTGATAAAAATAAATGAATTCATAAGAACAAACACTCACATTTCTCAATAATATCTAATTCGTATTATGTACATATTATTGTTAAATATGGTAGTATTCTTATTTTTTTCATATGGGCTGCATTTTACGTGCATTCATTATTTATTATGTATATCATTATTAATAAATTATAAATCTACATAAGACTCAAATACATTTTTAACTTATCCCATCCGTTCCTTTACGCACTTTCAACAAGTTCAGTGTTAACTTTATTTATGGAATAAATCGACCATGTCGGGTATGTGTTGTCTACAGCTACTTACACAAGGTACAATAATTTAATGTGATTAAACTATTAAAGTACCCTAAAGAATTAGTTAACACGTTTCATCTAGTATAATGTACATTGTATTAATTATTCACTTACTACGAAGTGTACGAACGAATACAATACGAATTATATGAGTATGACGTTTAGGTCATTATTTTTTTGGTTCTGCCAATGGAGCAACATTAAAATAATACAAGGATCTTAAAATTCAGAAGACGCCTTCAAAAACATTATGCGGTACATCAATCAGCGATTCAATTATGAATTTGGTAACCTAACCTTCGTTTCACCTTAAATTTCTGAAATTATGTAACTAATGACATATTTTACAAGATTACATTTTCTCGTTAATTGTAGTAAAAACCATTAATCCAATAGGTTAAAATGTGTGACAGTGATCCTAAATGCACACAAACAGAGGGATGTTAAAGAAAACAAATGAGCTAGGGCGAGTTTACAATTTCCTTCAGAGATTAAAAAGTGGTTTTATGTTAGGCGGAGCAAGCAAGCAGCGGTCCACCAACGTGCCAATGTGAACAGGCGACGTTTAGAGAGGAGGAGTGTTTTCGCCGCAGCTCTAATTAGCTCCAGATTAAAGTAATGTCGAGGGAGCTATTAGAGACATTTAGCTGTTAATTAAAACTGTTTTCCAGCCGGTCCAAATGCGGGCAAACGTGGTAGACACTAGGGAAAACGCTCGTAAAAACTTGTGATTAATGATCAACGAGAGAGGAATAAAACTATATTCTACTGGCTGGCCATTTGATGAAAACGACTATGGTATCGCTCTTCTTCTTCATTTTCACCCTCGTATAGTTTACATACACTACTCTAATTGAAAAACCCAAAAAGCATATTATTTAAATTCGATTTTTTTTTGTCTTTTTTTTACTAATTTTACAACTAATTTAAATGGACTTCATTCTAATTTACCCTCAAACATTTTGAACTGTACCGATTATAAATCTATTTTTATACACCAAATAAATGTACGAAGATTTATTTCGAACAAAATAAAAATTAATTTTTGAAAACTTAATTATTATTCATTCGACGGTTTTGAATTATTTAATGGTGTTTTATGAGATATTTATAGTACATTAGAGACTTTATTCTTCCAAAAGGTCACTTTGTTTAAAAAAAATATCACACTGGTGCATTTGTAATATATTTTAGTTATATTCATTGTAGAGTTTAAAAACATTTTTTAATGACGAGTATTTAATTATTTTTGTAGCACATCAGTGACATCACAGCATTGCACATCTTCGTATTATAACAATAATGTTAATAATAAATACCATATGTATAATAAAATATGTATGAAAATATGTATACTACGAGTATAATGAAATCATTCATATTGTTTATTATTTAAAGAAATATTTACGAAAATGTTACATTATTTATATATATATATGCAAATAAGTTATGATAGGTACTTATAATGTTACAATATTCAGGTGACTATAATTAAACATATTAACGTATTATTCAATAATTTTTGAACTATTCTTATCATAATCACTAAAACTCTGAAAGTGGTAAATACTGGTACATAGTACAAGTAATAAATAATTAACTTGCTTTGAATTGTTTCATTATTATGCTGATTTGTCTTTGCGTTTAAGTTATAATCTGTATAAATAATGTCATGATACTGTGTTCATTCATGTAATTTGATATATTTAGTATTAAATCCTATGAAAAAAAACTTTTTTTTTAATTGTTATAGTTTTATGTTAATATAATATATATATATATATATATATATATGAGTACTGTTTATTTCAATTTAAACAATATTTGTTTTTAATAATATTAATTTTGTTTACTTATAGTTATAATTTAAAAAAATATTTTTAGAGACTATATATATATATGTTAATTAATAAAAAAAATACTAATTATCTTATTACATTAGTTTCAATATTAGTTATGAGTGATACAATTGAATTAATATTTAAAGTAATTAGAAAAAAGGTAAATTTATTGTACAAATAATCACATTTTTTTAATACTTGAAATTATTTAACATATAACTGTTGAATCTTATATACAGTAGAATTTCGATAACTCAAATTTCTATAAATTAAATTTTCGTTAACTTGGAATGTCTTAGTCCCTATATTTTAATATGTGTGATACATTTTCTCGATAATTCCAATTTTGCTAATTTGCATTTCTCGATAAGTCGAAATCATTTTGGCTTATAACTCGAATTGTTTGACATATATTACCAAAAATTACTGAAATAATAAGTGTATGTATAAATAGTGCATATTCACAAATAAATATAATAAATAATAAATAAATGCCTAATGAGTTAAGTGGGGAGGAGTCAGATATTAATGGCAATTTAGAATTGCCTTTGCCTTTAACTACTCTTGCTAAGCATGGTTTACAAGTAGTTCGTAAATTGATTCGGAAACAACCAGAAATTCGGGATTTTTTCTGCGCTCAACATTATTGAAAACAATACAGATACATCCTTATAGTACATTAAAAATAATCAAAAATATTTAATTTCTTCCAAAAATAGTCCTACTTTGTTTATAATTTCCTTTATTATTTACATATTTATTTTACAATAGAATACTTTTTTGAAAATTGTAAACATACATGCATATATTATACCATAGTATAAGTAAATAAATAAAATTATAAATTAATGCCTCTTTATTGTATAATAAAATATTTTTGATAACTAGAATTTTTTTTTTCGCCCCGAGCCGATTTAAATTATCAAGGATCCACTGTGATTAATAATTTTAACAATATTTTTATCACATCAATATTATAATTATAACAATTGTTTTTAATTTAATATTAAATTTATAACTTTTTGATGAAATGTAATAACATAATATTTTAATTAACTTTTGTGATCATTAATAGATACGATTAAAATTATTTTTCGTAAACAATAATTTATCATCATTTATAATCTTAAAGAAAAATATCATCTTGGCACCTTGGTTAATAAAAATTTTTGTATTAACATTTTTTTTCCATTCCAACTGCATTTATTTACACTGAGTATATTTGTGTTAATACTGAAATAATTCCTAGTCATTAGTCATTAATTTTAGATTCTAAGTAACAAAGTTAATTTGTTATCTAATTTTTTTGATTCGTTATTTACCCCTATTACATTATCAGAGTAAAATATTGCTCCAGAAGTTTCAAATATTTATTCCGAAAAAATTGGCATTTCATACTACTTTTATTTATTTATGATTTAAATATTGAATTAATCGCATATAAAATATAAACAATTTAAGCTGAATTCGTATTTACAAAGTATATACATACATAATTAGCTATATTAAAATTATTAATATTTTAAAAAATTAATCAGTTAGCTTTAAACACGTAAGTAATCGAAAGTCATATACGAACAACAAATAGAATAAGTACTCCTTTTATTGAAAATAAAATATACAACCCATCCTAATTAATAACTAAACCAACATCCAATACCTTCTAACCAAACCTAACATTAGATTCTCGTTTTTGTACTGTGAATATAAAATAAATCACAACATAAAATAAAAATAAATTAATTAAAATATTATGGGACTTCGTGATCTACGTAACATGTTGTGTTTGTCTATTTACAGTTTACGTTTACTAAAAACAATTTAGAAGTACTTATAGAGTTTTCTAATTTAGATTACCTATTATATTATAATTATTACATTTTGGTTTGAATTGTAGTACATCATTAGGTTTATAAATTCAAACAAAAAATGTCATTAAATTGTTATGAAATCAAAAAAGATTTGTGAGAATCATTAAATTTTTTATTGAATATGTATTTAAAATTCATAATTGAATCTTTACATGAATAAAATATCTATTTATAGTGAATCAGAAGAACAATTTAGAAAAGAAAACTATATTTTATTATTTTATTTTATTTTATTTATTTTATTTATTCAAAAGTAATGTATGATAAATAATTTCACAGTTACTTTAAATATTTTTATGTATATAAATAAGTATTATACAAAATTATACAATTAATATAAACTAATATACTTAAGTAATATACCTTCCTATATTACATGTCTATTAATATACAGAAATTATTACTCGTATTTTTTATTATAAATTAACTAAACTAAGTGACGATTTTTTAAATTCTATGAGACTTATAATTTAAAAAATTTTAATTTTTTATTATAAAAAAAAATGTATATTGTATTTTATGCTTAATACAACACATTGGATATTTCGCTGTTTCGTCAAACATTTATCGAAAGTACTTAATTATTTGACTATTGATAATTATTGATTTTTTTTAGTTGAAATAAATAAACATATACTTTAGTGTGATTTCTGGTTTTGACGTGTGAAATAATATACTCTTGCTTTCCAGTTAAAAAGAAATATTGTAAAAAAGTAAATATATATTTTCATACATGTTTGAACTTAAATCAAAACACACTTCTGCGGTGATGAATAAATAAAAATAAAATCGTACTATGCAAGTGTAACCTGATTTAAAAGTAAACCATCGCAAACTAGGTAGTTGTTTTTATAAATTATAACGGTATTGTACTGTGCTAAAGAACCATAACACAAAAGTAGGGCCATCTTAATCTGTGTTTCAGGCCGATAAACATTTGCAGGAAATTACACTTCCTGTTATTAAAATATTGAAGGCACAGCTCTTCTGTACATAAATTGCCTTCGAACGATAACAATTACACACTGTCAAACCAGTACTGTTTTGCTGATTATCATAACAGACGCAATATACAAATTTAGCATTGCTTTCAAATTTTTAATAATAGTTCAACACTCTCTCGAGACGACATGTGCAAAGCGAAACGTCAAACGTGTGTGTTGTAATCACTCGGTCGTTCTATCGTGTACACTATACTTACCCGTTATTATCATCATCATTACCCATGTATTTACCCGAAATAATATTAAAATAGTTGTTTGCTCAACCACCGAAGAATGACGTTTTCGGATCATTTTGAGTGTTCCGAAAACATCTCAATCCTACCAGTATAACAGCATACTGAGGACACTGTAGCAGTATTTGGAATGGTTAACAGTGAAATTGTTGGACGTAATTATAGACTTTGTAATTATGTATACGTTAATGCAATTTGACTTGAAGTACAGCCAGTGAATGATAAATGTGTGACCGGAAATTAATACTGACGTATATTCCATTAAAATCACTTAGGTGCTGGTGAAGCTACTTACGTATGATAGTGATCGCATTTTATTAATATAATACTGTTATAACAAGTAAAATTTACCACTGATTATAATCGACATTTCTACACCGTAGCAATCACGGGAGTTATGTCGAAGATTAAAAAACAAAACGAATACTTAAATGATTCCAACTCAAGGAAACATATTTACTATAACAATTACCTCTGTCGGTACCTAGTTGCTTGATTTAGTGAGTCGTTGGGGGGGGGGGACAGAGCTCCCCACCATTTATCTCCAGCGCACCTTTACGTATTATGTTTACTCAAACAGAAAGAATATACATCCTTGGCGCCAAAAATTATTTTGAACGTATACGTGTAGATCTCAGTGATTTTATTTATTTTTATAAATATGAGATTTTATTATTATAATCACTCTATTCGTGAGGTAAACATTTTTTTTTTTATAGTAATTTTATATTATAAAATATTATTTGTTTTTGTGACTAAACATATTAAATGGTAATAAAAGATAATAATTTACCTGTATTTATCTCGTAAATATTATTTTGTAGAATTGTTGAAAATCAATACCGACCAAAACAAACTATAATAATAATTAGTGATAACATATTTTTTTTTTTAATTTATGTTTTTGAAAATATTTCTGCATTGTCTAAAATCTTGTGCAGTTAATAAATTCATTACATATTCGTGTTTTTCTTTTTAGTTATTAGAACCTAATTAATTTATTGATTGATTTATTCATTAAAAACCTTTTTGTAAATCTTATTTATATTTTATATTAAATATACATTATATACTAACTAATAACTATTAATTTTTTTAATCGGTATAGCTCGAAAACTAAAAAAGTAATTTACAAAACGAACATTTTTATTTTACAACTTAAAAAATGAAACTTCATTTTTGAGTATCTCAAAGTGTAAGGATAGATACAAATTAAATAACGAGCGAAAATAGTATAACCGGCAAGAATATAATGTAATTGCTGTCCGTTACAGATGATGATCACAATACAAGTTATTACAATAGAGACTCGAAGAAATGCGTTCAAATAATTTTACTTTGACAGTTGCCATTTGTGAACCAAACAGAACATACATACGTTGTTCCATGAAATTTAATTAATTTTTATCAATTTATGTATTATTAACAATTTTTAATTAATGTTAACATAGTTTTCAAATATTTTAGAGAAAAAAAATTGTTTGAATAACTTTTTTTATTTTTTAAAAAAATAGGTTTGAAATGTTCTAAAGCACAATCATAACGTAAAATAAGTATAAAATGGAAAGCACTAATATATTTATTAAAACTCTTGTTATTTTGACAATAGTTTTAATAAAATATTCATTGGGGCTAGATTATTCAAAAATTCAGGTACGTATTTTAATTATTTTTTTTATTCTTAAGTTGTTAATTATTATAATTATATCTAATGGCGTATACTTATGTCAAAAACTGATAATTTAATACTTCACAATAATTGTTAAAAAAATTATTTTTACTAAAATGTAATTTAACATGATCAATATCTAACAATTACAATTACTTACAATTCATGTGTTGAAAAATAATATAATCCAATAGTTTTTTTATTAGTAGTACTCAAAGATTGTAGGTTGAAATCCATTATTTGATGGTACATTTTATTTAATCGATACTTTATTGAGATTAATCGAAAAATGTGAAAAAGAAAAACTGTTAAAATATTGTTGTGGAATTTTACGCCACTTATACTGTTAATTAACATTTTTTAATATCAATATTTATTTTAATCTTTTTTTATTACTTTAACTTTTTAAATATGCAATATTATAAACATTTAATTTATCAGTATTATACTTTATTTGGTAAATTTATTTTAATTTATTTATATAAAAAATAAATTACAGCACTCACAAATATTTCAAATAAATAATAGGTATTTATAAAAATATTTATCATACTTAGGGACATAATACAAATGTGGATGAAGCAATGCAATTTCTTCGTGAATGGGAAAATGAAGCAATACCATTGTGTAATAGAGTAACAACAGCCCAGTGGATATATGCAACAAATATAACGGAATATAATAAGAAACAAATGGTGAATTCACAATTTTTTAAACACGTTTTACAATAAATTTAATTACAATCTAATAAATAAAACAATAAATTACTATAGTCAAAGTACCTACTATTTTTCTCAAACTAAAAATAAAAGAACTCCAAATTATAGCCGAATCGAGTCGTATTAAAAGAAGAAATGACCAAAAAAATGCAAACATCAAGATTAATAATATTAATGAATTATATTTTAAAAGATCAACAGATTTAGTTCAAGTTGTTGAGGTTTTTGAGTTCTCATTACTTGACTACATTGGCGTGTAAATTAATGTAGGTTTAGTGATTTATATTAGTTATACCGTTTATTTACTAATAGTAATTTATATTGTCTATGACTTAAACATTTTTATTTTTATAACAAATTTTATATGTGCATATCTTACCTCAATACATTAAATTAATTTAAATAGTAATTATTTTCAATACTGTATTGAGCATTACAGCTTATTTTTAACCCTCACACTAAATTCGTAACTATAGCTTAAAATTATTTTAAATGTATACGTGGAGTCGATTATAAATGCTTATAAATTATTAATGCTCGATGTATATTTATAATAATATAATCATATGGGTACATAAACATGTAAAATAGTCAACTAATAATTTAAATCACAGATAATCACACGATTACTATTCTAATGTTTTCATTTTAAAACAAATTATTGTATTAAACCTTACAACTGTTACACTTATATTACAAAGATAGACGAACAAAAACTACAGTCGAAGTTCAATAGAGTATCTTGGAGGAAGGCTTCGGATTTCATGTGGACTCGTATATCGGATCCTATCATACAAAGACAACTTAAAATTTTGGCTCTGAAGGGTCAATCAAATGTGCCCGATATAAAAATAAATCAGGTAATTTTTTTATTTTATTTGTATGCATATACATTTAAAGTGAGTAAAATTGAAAACTAAAATGTTTTGTTAGCTTATGTTTATGTATTTTTTAAGTACATATTGCATTTTTAATAAAATATAAAAGATGAATATTAAAAAAACCCCAATTTCATATTAATGGTTAGTGGCAACTATAGTATATATTTTAAAATGTATTTATTGAGACAAGAATAAAGTAATAAACACACTACCTACTCATGAAGTTGCTTAATTTTTGTTAATTTATCATTTATCTCTTATGATAACCTACTTTAGTATGAGTACAAATTTGCTCTTAATATGATAGTTTGAAATATAATGTATGCAGATTTTAATGTTAGAAAAAAATATATTAAAAAATTCCATTCATATAAAATAATCTAAGATAGAGGCTTAAGACTAATAATTATATAGTTAAATAATAAAAATTACGGTCCAAAATTTTTTTTTTTCCGTAATTCATAAGTTAACCCTTCACTTTTCCTAACCAAATATGACACAACAAATATACATAAACAATGTGCAACTATATTTTGACTTTATGAATTATTATTTATCTGCTTTAAAATAATAAAATAAAATGTAATTCATATTCATTATTTTGAAATATATCTATTTTTATTTGATAGATGCATTCGATCTTAAATGAAATGAAAGATATTTATGCAAAAGCAAAAATATGTCCATTTAATAATAGATTTACGTCATACTGCGATCTTAGTCTTGAACCAGGTATTAATTAATCACTTGTAATTAGTATAACAAATTATTGTTTAAATAATAAAATTATTATTAAAAATAAAATTCAAAAAGATTTAGTTAAAGTGATGGCCAACTCAAGAGATTTTGAAGAACTGTTGTACACCTGGCGCTCGTGGAGGGCTAATATTGGACCAGAAATTCGGCCTAAGTATATAAAGTACATGGAATTGGTAAACGAAGCAGCAAAATCAATAGGTATAACTCGAATGATACTAAAAATAAAATGTAATAATATTGCAATATGCGTTTAGTCAAAATTTTGATCATAGATTAGGAAATTACATAAAATATTAATTTTACACATTTAGAATTGATCGAGTTATAAACGATCTATTTATCGATTTATCAACCACAAAGCTTGTGGTTCTAATAATAATCTACTTTTGATCAGGAACTTCTATTCACAATATAATATTTTTATAGTTGGAAATTAATTATATTTGAGAACTTAAAATATCATAATTGATGAATTTTCTGAAGAACTTCTAATTTATCCAAATCAAATTATTAAAAAAAAAAATCAGAGCCTGACACTTTATAACGTACTTATGCACGATAAATATTTTTATCATGATTCTTGTAATTCTGTAGGTTTTGAAGATGCAGGTCAGTATCAAATAGCGATGTATGAAGATGCAAATTTTAAAGGAAAACTTGAAAATTTGTGGATATCTATAGAACCGATTTATAAACAACTCCACGCCTATGTTCGCAGAAAACTAGTTTCTTATTACGGCACTCGCAGAGTTCGAGCTGATGGACCAATTCCTGCACATCTACTAGGTTGGTTGTTTATAAATTATTAATCGCTTAAAATTAATAATAATGAACTAAATACTCATTAAATACAAAATTAATTATTTATATAATAATAAAATTTGTAACACAACACTCCCTTGAGTCAATTTTACTTTAATAGAGGTTTTGGAAAAAACAACATTTTTGAACAATAATCTAATTTATGAATAATTGAAAAGTGAAACAAATTAATATGAATGGTCTTTATAAATATAATCGTTCATTTTGTTCATATTTTATAAAATAACATTGTGTTTGTATAGTTTTTTATATTTCGCTAGGTAACATGTGGGCACAGAACTGGAAAAACATAATTGATTTAGTGATTCCATATTCAAGAAAAAAGCGTGTTGATGTTTCCAGTGAAATGTTACGTCAAGGATATACACCTTTAAAGTAATACATAAGTTAGATAACCAATACTAAATTAAAAAGAAATACATGGCACAATCAAATTAAACTCTTATTGATTGTAAGATTTGGAAATTTTACCATTTAACCAAGTTTTAAGTTTATTTAGAATTCCATATGATTAAAAGTTTTTTTTTATTTTTAATTGGATTAAAAGTTATATTTTATAATATATCATATTCATACAACTAGTTTTTATCTGTTCATATAATTCATTATTATGTATGAGCAAACCTAAAAATCCAAATATTTGAAAGAATTTAATCAAAACTAGACGTGAGAACATTCAGTTGAATATAAACATTATCTTATATAATTAATTTAAGGAATTTAAAAAGACAATTGATTTGTATTTAAAAATTTTGAATTTTAATTGAAAATATGAAAAAGGAATTTAATTTTATGAATGGTTTTCAATCTAATAATAAGAATTAAAACAAATAATGAATATTATAATTATAATTTATTATTGTTGATTGTAATAATTTATTCTAGAATGTTCCAAATTTCTGAAGAATTTTTTACATCACTTGGTTTAAAAGCAATGCCAGTGGAATTTTGGCACAATTCAATTTTAGAAAAGCCAACAAATAGACCAATTTCGTGTAAAGCATCAGCTTGGGATTTTTGTAATAAATATGACTACAGGTAAATTAATACACATATATATGTAATTAATACACACATATATTATACTCACATTATTTTATTTTGTATACTTATAAAATGAAATTATTACACCTGAAAAATATCTAGCCATATCAAAATAAATAAAATAAATGCACTTTTATTTATCAGCTTATTATTGATTTTTTTTTTTTATCGATTTAAAGTTTTAAAGTTTTCATACTTGGTAATCTGCTTAGTAATGTAATACAAGAGAAATAATAATAAATAATAAACTTTTAGTAATGCTGCTAGAGGTTTGGCTAGGAGAAGGGTGTGTTTAAATCCCTTCCCCTCCGTAATTTCAATGAATTTAGAAAAAAAGTATTGTTTAATATTTTTATACAATTTAAGTTTAATATCATAAATATTTGCCAGGGTTATTTATATAATTTATTTTCGATGTATTCTATGGAATTAATTATTACCAAATGTATTAACTTGTGAAATACATTTGAAATACCGAGTAATAAAAATATTGAACCTTCCTAGATAATAATGTTTAAACACAACCTTGAAAACTACGACGGATATCAATGATATTATTTTTTAATAGTTTATTCTTTAACGAGTTTAGCTAAATTCAAAACTAATAAATAAGTTTTAATAAGTAAAAAATTACATTATTTGGAAACTTTCATCATAATATACTTACTAGTAGTACCATAATAAAATTGAGATTTGAGAAATAGCTCATCTTTAGTTAGAAAACTTATCAACATTCTGACCCTAACATTGACATGTTCTTATTATTTTCGTTATTTCAAAGCTTTAAATTTTCATTAAGCGTGTAAATTAATTGTTGACCATTAAAAATAGTTTAATACTAAATTGCACTACTTTAGAATAAAACAGTGTACTGAAGTTTCAATGGATGATTTATTTTCAACCCATCATGAAATGGCACATATTCAGTATTATCTCCATTATTCAGATCAGCCAATTCTTTTCAAAGAAGGGGCAAATCCAGGTTCGTACTATATTTTGTGTTGATTATACTTATATTGAAAATAATAAGTAAGATTAAGAAATTCATATATTTAGGTTTTCATGAAGCATTAAGTGATTCTATTATTCTTTCTGTTTCGACACCCCGACATTTACATAGAATTGGACTGTTGAATAATATAACCGACGACTATGGTGAAATTCATTATAATTAAAAATATAATTTTTATTGAGTTGTATATAATTTTTTTTTTTTTTTTAGAAAGTCAAATAAATTTTTTAATGGAAATGGCTTTAGAAAAAATTGCTTATTTACCTTTTGCCTACTCAGTTGATTTGGTGAGTATTCATTTTAAACAATAGTAAATAACTGACTGAAAATTATTGTATTATACTCGTATTATTATAATAATTATTACCTAGGTAATTCATAAGATGTAAAAAAAAATATTAACTTACAAGTATTATATAAATGATTTTAGAATAAATAATACATCAACTATTAAAGAAATTAGATCGATGTATTTTATTACTATAGGTAAAATAAAATAAATTAATTTTTAAGTGTGACATTTTCTCGAAATTGCTAAAGTATTTTATATGCTGTCGTATTTTATATTAATATAATATATATTTATTCTTTCATAATATTAAATATTTCTTACCTTTTAAAATAAAAATATGTTCAATTATTAATTTAAAAGTACTCAGTTTGGTGAAAATACTAGTATGATTAAAATATATAACAAGACATCTGAAAAAATTATTTAAGTTCGGTGTCTATTATCAAATAAGTTTTTCCGTATTATCAAATTTCAAATTTTTAAATAGACACGAAGTCTTTGGTTCCTAAAATATTTGTTTTTAAATTGGCCTTTGATTTAGACCTTTGATTGACCTTTGATTTTTCTACTGAAAAAGTATAAGTGTTATCTTCTCCTCCCAATAGGAAATTATACAAAGTAACAAATACTTAAAATATAATAAAAATACTTTATGTGAAAACATTTTAACAAAATCTACTAAAAATTAAAAATTACTCATATATATTTTTTTTAAAAATGTTGTTTCAAATGTCACACCTGATAAAATGTAAAATGTTTTAAAATATGTGCATATACTTGTAAATCAATTTAGAATCCCTATGATTCGATTGCAATTGATCATCTTTCAAATGGATTTTATATCAATAATAGAGAGAACTATTTCTAAAAAATAAACTCTTCGAAAGAGAATCAAATTTTTAAATATAATTTATCTTTTTTCAAGAACCCGTGTGATCTTCGGTGGCACATTTTCTACACTTTTTGCATTTTGTTAATTAATTTGAACGTATAATTGTTATAAGAGTTCCTGCTAATACAATATACATAAGATGTAGATAGTTTACGTTAATTAACTGAATATTATAGTGGCGATGGAGTGTATTCTCCAAGGGCGTGAATAATCTAAATGCTCGCTGGTGGGATTTAAAACTACTATACCAAGGAATTATTCCGCCAATAGCCAGAGATGAAAAAGATTTTGATCCAAGCTCAAAATACCATGTTATTGCCGATACTTCATATATAAAGTATGTACAATATTTATTATCTTGTCTTGACCAATTTTAATCATACTTCACGTGCATATAATATTATTAATAAACTAAATAATAGAGCTATGTAATTGAAGTATGATTTTTACACCCATCACTTGTATAAGTCTCTTAAAATGTAAATACATTGCAAGTACAGATATAAAATGTAATGGACTGTACACTGCTATTATACTTTGTATTAATTAAAATTTATTAATAATTTGCAAAATTCAGGAGAGTATAAAATATGATAAAAGACTAACGTAATATAAATAAAATATGCATTTATATATTTTGTAAGTAGAATATTTTTATTATTTTTTATTCAACAATTAGCTTTCCGATTTCTCACATAGCACATAAATATTATATAAAATAGATTATTATAAAAAAAAAATAAGTTGGAATTTTAAAAACTTTATTTATAAAAATTGTAAAAATACCTGTAATATCTAATTAACTATAAATACTCATAATGACAAATTAAAGTGAGGTATATTTGTCAACTACCAGTATAAAATTGAAAATTTGAAAAATTAAATACTAAAATCAACATTATAAATAAAAATAAAAAGTAAGAAAATCAAAAGTATTTAAAATAATAATTATTTTCTAATTTGCATGTAATTTTTAATGCAATATTTCACATATGAAAATAGTGTGTATTATATTTTTACAAAATTAAATGGACTACAAATACTTTAGAAGTAGGTATTTTTCTCCAAACAATTTATACAAAACAAGAACATCTCATCATTATACAACCAATTTATATATATTATCTTATTTTCTCGAAATCTAAGACATATATAAAATTACACGGTTGTAATATTTATGTTACTCATATGATATAATATTTCATACCAAAATTGATAAACTTTTTTAATCATGCGTGTAGCTCAATCGACCTTTGGATTTAATATATTTTTTATTTTATCGTGTCTTAAATTACTTTTTTGATTTAGGATTTCTAATTTTAAGTAAGCAATGCTGTACTAATTTTAATTTATCTAATAATATTTATACTCAACTAAATGAAAATCTATATGTTCTGCAATGTTAATCTACCTGTGGAGTTATTTTATTGCGATTTTTTACATTAAAAAAAAAAATATATATTACATATAACTATTGTTTTTTAAGAAGTATAATCAAACTATTATAAATCACAAATGAGACGATTTAATATGTACGTTATACGCGTTGAAACTAATATGGCCGTTAATGATCTCAAAATATAATTATTGTATTTCATGATAGTTATAACCAGGGTTCATAATTTCACGCCCTAAAAAATGCCTAACAATGCATTTATGCACTTAAAATTGGCAAAATATGCTTTGAAGTATGCCTTAAAAAGTTAAAAAAAATATGCATTTATATGCACTAAATATCTATAACTATGCACGTAAAAAATGCTTACTTAAAAAAATAATAAATAATTTTTGAAATAACATGAATTATCTATTCGTTTTTTTGTAGCTATATTTTATTTTTTTATGTCATAATTAAAAAAAAGAAATTTAAATACTATTTAATACTATTCTTGAGCCTTTATGAACTGCGTATAATATACGTCTTTGTCAGTAATTAATTTTAAATCTGAAACTTTTGAAACAAATTTATTCATTAAATGTACGAGTATCATGAAGATAAAAAAAAGAAAAGATGATACAATTTCTATTTTAATATATATATTTTCCATTTAGATTTTTGATAGATTCTAATAGAATGTTGTATAATATGCTTGATAAAATAGAAGTATGCATAAATATGACAAATATATTAAAAAATGTCAAATATGCAAAAACATGCAAAATAAGATTTCATGTATTTAACCGTGGTACCCTGAAATGGATTTCTATGTCATCTAGCATTAAATACAACTTTGCAAGATTGATATGCAAATGCATGAACTCACGAACTCTGGTTATAACAGTGCATTAACAAACTTATAGTTGTCGTTACTATAAAGATTCTTTTATATTTCAGATACTTTATCAGTATAATTTTACAATTTCAAATACACGACGCCTTGTGCAAAGCATCAGGACATGTTGGTCCATTACATACTTGCGATATATACCGTTCAAGAGAAGCTGGCAGAATACTAAGGTACCGACATTTATTCATGAGGTTAATATGTTAATGTTAGGCTGAAATTGTTCAGGATTACTATGTGAACGAAACAATAATTTAGTTGATTTAAAGACTACATTTTTACATAATTACAATTTAATAACGTCTATCTGTCCCAATGTTTGTTGTACATACCTATATGTATTCTGTATTATACAAAATAGATTATTGGTTTCAACATTATCAATATTGAATATTAAATATTGGTATTCAATATATATATATTGATTTAACCGTATATTCAATTATACAAAAATTATTAATGCAGTCAACCATCAAAAATTATTGACGAATATTTAAAAAAAAAAAATGTAACAGTCTTTTAAATATAATTGTTAAAATCTTTTGATATTTATGTCTTTGAAAATAAAATGATTAAAATCATACTATTCAGTAGGGAAGTAGTTTAAATAAACTTTAGATGTGTTTACTGTTTTTACTACACATAAATAATGGAACCTCTATTTAACTAACTTAACGATTCCTTGAAAAAGTTTACTATCAAGATTTAATTACATTATTATTACAAAAAACCTCGTTTTTATTTTGCATTCATTTACTGTACGCAAATTATAGCAATTACGTTAGTTGATTGTACTAACAGCTAAATGGTACTAAAATAAGCTATGCAATATAGAAAACTATTAATCAAATAGAGTACAAAGCATAAAAAAAATATTTCGTTCTCTATAAGTTTTCAAATTATCAGATATTTTACTAACCATTTTCATACGCTATTACATCTGTAAAATTATATACAGTTTCGTTAAAAACGTTTTTAATAACAAACTCCATTTTTACCTAAATAACTTAAGAAGGATTTAAAAAAAAAAAATCTAATTGTTATGCAAATAATAAATAATTAGTTATTATAACGTTCTATTAGATAATGATTCAATATTGAAAAATGTTAATACGATGAAACTTTAATATAGGTCAAATTTAGTATTAATAATACGAGTACAATATCTAAATGATTAAAATTCAACACTTCCTGATTACATTTTATGTAAAATATCAAATTTTTATACATTTGATAATACACCTCTTCTCGTAATTCATAGAACATAGGTTTTGTAATTAGTAATATTTTTGATTGAATAAATAGATTTTTTCTTCTCACACATTATATACTTAAGAATATTCGAGATTCATTAATATTAATCAATTTTAAGACTTTTTCCTTCGGTAATTATTTTAAATTGAATAACTATAATTTAATCATAAATCTTTTATATATATATACTTATTTGTTTATTTATTTATTTATATATTTATTTACAGTACGACATGTATCCTATGTTACTTAGTTTCGTTATTTCTCAAAAACTATAAAATAATATTTATTTTTTCTGAGTGTTAACTGTACATTTATATTTTTGTTAGTGAAGTAATGTCTATGGGATACTCAAAGTCGTGGCCACAAGTTATGAAAATTCTTACCGGAGGAAAATCTAGTGAAATAGATGCACAACCTTTGATTGAATACTTCAAACCACTATCACATTGGCTAGTGAATGAGAACAAAGCAGAAAGAATCGGATGGTCTACGTTAAACGAAGATATCGGTAACACAATAACAATGAATTGAAATAATATCATAAACTAATTAAAATATATTGTTATTCAATTTAGCGCTGTTTGAACCACTATCGAAGGCTAAAAATAGCTACTCAGTCGACAAACATTTAATTATACTTGTAATCTTTAACATTGTAAAAAATATATACTATTAATTTTACATATCAACTATAGTAGATTACACCACTCAATAACTCGTATATTGATTTCAACTATGTAATTATAGCTTACCTTTTTAGTATTATTTACTATGGTCCATTTTTAACCTTTATGGTAAATATTTAATATTTATGTAAGTTTAAATATATTAATTTATTTTATAATAATTTGCCCGTTGTATTAATGGAAATAAAACAAAGGATATTATTATTTTCAATGTATTGTTAAAATATTTATAATGCCATTAAAATTAAAAGTATACCTTTGAAATTTACTGACACACACTCACATAAACACACTAACATTCATAAACCAATATAAGCTGCCTATCATAATATCAGTAGACCAATATTGACCGTAGGTAAATTATCCTAATCACACAACATGAAGGGTCCGATTGACATGAAATATGGTACCTACATAAGTTATGCTATATGAAAACTATGGAGACTATAAAGAATCCAGTTTAATTTAGCATTGTTATAGCAGAAAGAAAGGTAGGCACATACAATTTATGAAATTTGTTTAAATTTAATATTATAAAGTATAAAGTTTTCCATTGGTATTTCAACTATACTAACTATACTGTTGTTTAATTAGATTGAGCATATGATAACTATTATTAAGGTTTAATTTAGAATCAAGCAATTATTTTTTGAAAAAAAAAATACGTCAAAACTTGAAATGAGAGAATTCGACGAATTAGTACGTCGTTTGCTAATCTATTATGTGAAAGAACTTGAAAAAAACATTTGCTTGTGGTTGTATAAGGCTTTTATTCGGGTTAATCCACCCATTAGATGGATACAATACTTTAAACGCCGTTATAAACTTGTTTGCCTAGCCGTGAGGAACAAAGATAAGTGTCCAAGAAGCCAAATCGTTAATTTAAAATGATTTTAGTTTTTTTTTGTGACTAGAGCTTCAGGTAAGAAATAAAAAAAAGTAATGCATTTTCTCATTGATGACATTTTTGTAAAAGAGTGAAATCGAAGTGCTTAGAAAAAATGAGGGGGTGGGATCAAAAGTTTACCGTAGGATTATAAAATCTCTCGTAGAGGAAATAAATAATTCCTAGCAAAGTTATTTTTATTATTGTTATTCGTATGCACGTAGTAAACACATAACATATAAGTCCTACAAGAATTATCTTTATAATGGTTGTTATGTTAAAGTGCAAAAATGGTACCAGACGAATAATGTTATTTATCATTGCTGGTATGCGGATATTGGCCGAAAACGGAAATAATAAAAGCCATATCGATATCTAACTAAATAGCTAGTAGCTACGAAATAAACAAAGATTGACCTTATTGTCATTTAATCAGAGACATGTGTAGACTTTCATACGCAGCATAATATTAACCAATTATCTAGTTATATTTATACCAATGTTGGATCAAAACATATGCCTTTTTCAGATCTCGTAGAAAATAAATGCTTACAAATAAATATCTATTACTTTTTATAAAATTCCTAATGTAATACCAATTTTTTCATCATTATCTCAATGGTTTGATAAAGTAACAGCTCACTTATAGTCAAATAATTGATTCGCAATTTTTGATTTCTAAAACTCAAAATTTTCGTCACCATAAAACCTGTTGATTCCGGAATAACTGCTCAAAGAAAATATTATCATATATAATATCGAAATATTGAATTAAACTATTTGAAACACTAAACATGAATTAGAATTATATTCGTAATTTAAATTAAACCAATTTTTTTTTTTTTTTTTTATATATATATATATACGTAATTTCAAAAATATAAAAAACTAATTCTGGCCACTAAATCCAATCTTATTTAACTTATTTGAAACATTAAAATTATAATATTTAAATCGTAAAATATATATTTACACTGATGTTGACAAAAGTTATAATTTGTCTAATATATAGGTACACATATTATACATTTTTTGTTTTTATTATTATATTAATTTGGTATTCTGTTATAGTTGAATTTACTAAGTAATAACTCAGTAAATATACTTCCAGACTAAAATAACAAAGCTTAAAAATCTGATAGTAATAATATCTGACAACCGAACATACAAAACTAATCACAGTTAATCCTACTGAATCCTTTACAAATATTTTCTCTGTACAAATAAGTAAATTAGATATCTATACTACGTAATATAACATCCATATAAATGGGTAAACGAAATACCAATTACTTTAACTAAATATTAAGATCAGCGTTTCATATTTTAAGTTTTCATTATACATATTAAACATTTTAATTAAGAAATTTACTTCACACTCGTAATATTTGTTGCAAAATGTACATTGTGTAAATAATAACTCTGAATCAGATTTATTTATTTGTTAGTTTATTAATATTTAAACACCGTCTGAGCATAATGCTAATGATACACATATTAAAAAACATTATATAAAGTTACCATTTCTTAACTTATTAATTGAATCAATATCATGAAGATCATTTAATAATTAGGTTCTTTGACTTTAAAAATAAATACAATATTATTCCACAATATTTATCATCATTAACAAATATTTACTAAATAATAATTAATTACTCGTGAATAATTTAAATATTTTGTTTCGTTTTGTGTAAATTATTTTTAACTAAAATTAAAAAAATTTGATTTTTTTTAAGGCTATTTGCTGAATATTGTTAAAGTGATCAGAAATGTTAGAATAGAAATATGTACGTACTCATAAATTATCAATTTTAGAGGTTTCACAAAATCAATTTTTATTCATTTTAATTTTTAAAAATGTAAAGGATAGGTTAGTTACTAGGATAGGATAGTTTACTTGTTCAATTGTGTATTTTATAAAAAATGCATTATTTTTAAAAAATTAAAATACCTTAAATAAAAGTAAAAATATGATTTTTTTCATTAATGAAATGGAAATACTAAATAGGTATTAATTTTAAATTTCTATTGATACATTTTTACTTCTACTTTATTTTGATAGCAAATTTAAGTTTCAAAAATATAATTTCCTGTAGATAGATAAATCTATCAACATTTTTAACTAATTTAGATAGAGTTTATCAATATTTATTTTGATAATATTATAAAGTTTTATATATTTTAAGTTTTGTGCCATTAATTTTTAATACTGTTAGTAGTTATATACGTTGACAATGTTCAATTGACTTTTAAAGTGTACCATATTTATAGATTTTTAATAAGTTAAGAATTTATTGACAAAGTTGAACAATGTGACATGTGACCACAATATTAGATAAAAAAATAAATTATACGCGCTGATATTTGTATTGTTAATAGACCTATTAATCGATTTGAAATGCATCTACTCGGCTAAAAAGTATTTTTTTAAATTACAGGCGCCTATTCATAACTTCGTAGTGAACAAAGCACGGAAAGTGTGTTCCTACAGTTTTCCGATAGAGGTCGGATGATATTTAAATTGTTACTAAGCTTTACTTAAGCACTGGTTTGTAATGTTTAAATATGATCTATTTTCTGCTATTCCTACCCTAAATCATTGTTTATGTAATTATTGCATTTAATTTTATTACGATAATTGCATGGAAGTAATGGAAGCAAAATATTAGTGTCGAGTAATAATTTACTATTACTTTTCCAGATTTTAAGAATCTTTACCCTAAAAATTGTATAGATCCCTTCTATTCAGATAAACATTGAATACGGATGTTATTTTCTACGTTAAATTTTTACAACTATTAGTGATTTTTCACAGATTTTCATATTCCTTTATAATATAAATCACTTAACTGAAAAATGTCGATTAAAATTTTTATTATAATTATTGATACAATATAACCCCATATGACTTAAACATGTATATAAGTCAGTAACCTGAAATAACAATTCACTCAGCTACATTTAGAATCGTGTGAATAATTCAACAACAACTTTCTGCTAATACGTATCACGCGATCTCTTAGCCAACCAAACCACTATTTGTCAACTTCTAGTGTCAGAAAAAGAAAGACTAGTAATTCGATACAGGATTTGCGCGAGTTAAATGGTGAGCACAGCGTTCTAAGGAGTTTAAAAACCGTCGGAACAACAACAATTCAAATATATATTAACGCGAATAAATTGATTATAATAACGTAAATTTCCGTGCTGCACACAATGGTTCACAATAAAAACGTTTTATATTTCGGCAACCATATTTGTGCGTGATAAATGTGTATTTGTACAAACCCATTGTAACGCAAAGGTGTTAAAAAAATTATGTTTTCGTACAGACCGTACAGTGCACTATTTGTACACATTATCCATAATTCACATTCATAATTTACCCGTAACACTATTATGTGCTACGTTACATTTTTTTTTTTTTTTTTTTAATACTCCATCAGAATTTTTATACGAAAAATATTTTACACCGGAATAATGTGTACCGGTAAAACGAACGCATTAATCGTGCACACGTACACCACACACGTCTCTCTCGGTCGTTGTGCGACATGATACGATGTGGACGAAGACTTTGTCCGCGGTTAACGCAATCAACTGTCCGTTCCCTATCGTTAACAGTATCCAATTGTGATTTTAACATCCGCACCAATTAGATCCGTCCGAATAATATCAAGGGTGGGGGAGGGGAAGGATAAAAATCAATAGGTTTCAGCGAGTGGCCGCGTGTACGTCGACTACGTGCACGTATCGGTTTTTCGCGGGTACCGCCGAACCGTCGCGTTACCGCTCCGTAAAAATGTATTCCCGTTAAGCGTATACGTGGGTCAGAAAGTCGAGGCGACGAATATTGATTTTTCGAGCGCCGACTGCGGTTGCGCGAGTGCGACCGACCGACCGACCCGCCGTGAACTCGTATTGAAGCTCGCGCGGGTATTGAGTTTTCCCGTACCCGTCATTTGGGCTGTACGAGGCACGCGCGCAAGGCAAGGCACCACGCACGCACGCATTCACGCACGCACGCACGTACGCATGCACACCGTATATCGCACATTTTCCGACGGGCGACTCGTGTGTGACCACGTCGCAGCGGCGTGCCGTTCGTTTTTGTACTCGTCAAAAGACTGAACTAACCGAAAACGTTTTCTACGCGACATGGAACGAGGTAAGTGCCGTCGAAACGCGAACCAGGCG